CCTTATAATTTATAACAGAGGGAGTATAGTTTTCACAGCTGAAGAAGAAACAAATCACCTCGGCTGGCTTAATCAGTCGGTTGAGCTCTCACCGGCCAGCGAAGCTCACCGGGAAGCTAGCTTTGGATGCAGTCGTTTGACGACTGACTTGGTCGTAGCACACAACCGCTGGTTAGGGAGCCGTACGTAGCTACGACTGAGCTTGACGACGATGTGTGCCCCCGTGAGGAGGCAGCGACGCCGACGCGACGGCCGGGCGCACACCGGCGACCACGCGCCGGCGGAGTGGACTGTAAGTACGGTCAGTTTCGTGGCCGGTCTGGTCGTTGTGCACGTGACATCTATTGCCCCCGTCTCAAAATAAGTGCGGCCATAAGTTTCCGCGCTCAACTTTGATCGTCCGTTCTACTTGAATTTTTTTTATAATTAGTATTTTTATTGTTATGAGATGATAAAACGTGAATAGTACTTTGCTCGTGACTTATGTTTTTAATTTTTTTTAAAAAAATTAAATAAGATGAACAATCAAAGTTGGACACGGAAAATCATGGCTGCACTTATTTTGGGACAGAGGGAGTATTTGTTAATATATGAAATGATTAATTTTAATTTTGAATCCCACTATAGGGCTATGTAGTGTTAGTAGAAAATAATATAAATAATCGAAGTGATCACATATCTATTTATACTACAACCTCATTACATGGTAGTAGAAACGTGGAGCAGTATTATTATAAGAAAAATATGTGGAGAGGCATAATCATTATTTAGTAGTGACTTTTTTTTTCTTTTCGATGGAATATGAGCGATGTCATTGCCAGCGCAATGAATGACCTCGGATTGATCTAGCCATGATAAACATAAAAGATAAATTTGTCCCTCGTCATTGTATAAATAAATTGGATTGATCTAGCCATGAAAAACATAAAAGATAAATTTGTCCCTCGTCATTGTATAAATAAATTACTAACTTATTCTTAATAATGAACGGTTAATATTATTTTTATTGTAGTATAATACTACTTAGTAAAGAGAGCATTGGAATCGTTCATTAGTTTTATTAGTGGTCTTTTTTTTAAAAAAAATAAAACATAGATAGAAACTCACATGACCGCGACAACTAGAAGCTAGGTACTATGGGTATCGAGCGATCTCTCTCATCTCATTACAAATTGGGCAGTCGACCGACGGAGACTTGAACAACTTGATCCGGGGCTTACATGCATGCATGCACATCCATATCTAGATTTTGAAGGATTTAATTTTCTTGTGATTCGTGAGTTGTGATTACTTTTCTCATAGTCCATACAAGGACAAAATGTGATCAGTGCATGAAGCAATATACTTGGACATTTTTCAGAGTTTACTAGAACCTATAGGAAAAATAACTACGGCGGGTATTAATACGGATGAACTAATTAAAGATTTTCATTTGCATTATTTCCCCTGTACAACCATCTAACATCTTCCATTAAGAAAGATACATTTGGTTCACATATTTAACATTAATATTATGTACCAATTTGTGTGACTGTTCAATCTCTGTTTCCTTCGACCAACTTGCTGTTGGATCTCCCAAAAAGAACAAAAAAAAAAAAGAGGAAAAACAGCATGATCACCAGCTTGAAAAACAACCGGATCTGAAAGACACACGCATGCTCTTTTTTCTCAAGCAAAAAAGGATCACACCACCATGTTTTTTTTTTTTACATGTTATCCTTTGCTATAGCTATTGGCGATCGACCTGTTGGCCATATCTTTTTCTTCTACCCTGTTTGCCATGTTCATCCTTTGCAATGCTATTGCTTGGAGCACTTGAGCAACAGACAACTGTACAAGCTCATCCATCTCCCTTTCTTTTGCGGGTTCGTTCTGCAGCTAAGCCTTGTTCGTGATGATTGGTAGGACGTACACTTTGATTCACCAACGAAATACTGCCAAACAACCTTCAACTTTTCCTTTTTGCCGTATATGATTGCACGGATCGATCACCATATGGTAGTGGTTTGCCATAGCAAATAACCTGTTCAGATCTTTTGATGCCGGTCCTAACATGCATGATACCATTAGCAAGCTGTGTGTGTACATGTGTATCGTACCCACCGCACTTAGCCATATGTCTGAAATTTCAGTTTTTTTTTCTAACTAGATTGCTTTGAAGTTATCATTTTCCCCATAATCATATTTAATAATCACATAATACCTAGGTAGTTTTACTCTTTTTTTTTGCCAAAAATGTTCAATTTTTGCACTTGCTGGCCTTACTGAAATTTGTCTATATTCCAATTTCAGATTTCCCTTTGTTGTTTATGGTTGAAATTTGATTGCAAATGAAATTTTCAACCAGATGAATATTTTCACTGAAAATGTGCATACTTTTTACCAAAGCTGTCATTTTCCACGTTTTTGCTTAAATTTGATACTCATTATTTGTCTATGACAAGACCATTCTAATTAAAAATGCAACTTCAATGAAGGTAGATGGCTAGTAATCATTGAATCCGTAAAACCTTTTGAACACTTTTGCAAGGTTGACTCTACAAAGAAATTATGCAGTACACATCAAAATTACTTGGTACCACAGAAGCACCATATATGCAAAAGGGTGTAAAGCCAACAGATATTTATGTGTCCAATTTAAGAAGCCAACACATGACAGTGGTGAATTTGTACTTTCAAATGCCTACTTGTAGCGCTGTAGTCAAAGCTATAAGTAATTAACCTGTAAATATAATAGGCCCTAAGAGTCAAAACAACAAAATTAGTTCATAAATGCAAGACCCATACCTTAAAGGAACCCTATTTAGTAAAAATTAGAAAAAGAACTTTTTTTCACCAAACTTTATATAGTCATTTTGATAAATAATTAAATATCGTAGATATATTTTGATGTATAATTATTAAAATACAAAAAAATATAGGAAACAATTTTTCTGAAAATAATTTATGAACCAATTGCCATTTTTTTTAAAAAAAAATTGAGACCAAACAAACTACAACGCAGTTCTTGACCAAATTGTCAGTGAGTGAGAATAACGCCACTGCAGTTTGTCTCTGCACATTCACTTCAGCCAAAGTCACCTCTCGCTCTGATCTAACCAGGTCAACCCACTTCTCACCGTGGTGATGCACTAGCCGTGACCACTTCTTATATTCCATCTCAAAAGGAGAAAAAAAAAAGAAAAGGTGACCACTTCTTATTCACATGTGTGTTTTGGGCCACCAAAACAATGAGAATTACACAGAGTACAAAACTCACCTCACACTGTCACACATCCATGGTCCATATTGATGTAAAATTCTGTACCTATTTCTGAATTTCTGGTCCCATAGTCAGGGGTTTTCACACTGAACCAACCTAGTATTAGTACCACATTGAGTCAGTAGTACTCCTAGTTGAGAACTTGAGATGAAGAAGTATATGAGTATACTAGCTACGGTTTTTTCTTTTTTGGGTTCATGGTGATTGATGACTTTGCTGGGGTCAGGTTAAAAAAAAAGTTTTCTGCTCCTCTTATGTGGCACTTGCGGTCCTAGAATACGTGCAATTAATCTTTCTTTTAACAATGACATTTTCTTGCGTACTAAGTTCTTTGCTATACCTAAGTTCTCACTGAAATAGCAGAACTGTGTTAAGAGTTAGTAAATTAATGTTCCTATAAAAAGATTAACAAGAAGACTAGCAATCTGAATTAAGTTCTGAGACAAGTTGTCTTTTCAGTATTAACACGAAACCGCGTGTCTGTAGTCGATCAAAGTTTCTCAAAAGTTAAAATGGATCAATACATTTAGCTAGTTAGGTCAAGAGTACCTTCATACTTTCCTTTTCTTTTTTCTTTTTATGAGTGCCAATGTATTAAATCGTAGTTCGCAGTCACGTTCCAATCGAGGTCAAAAGTTACTAGGAAAAAAATTACTATATCTGCTCCAAACTAATTACAAAAGAAATAAAAATATTAATTTTCAAACATGGGAAAAACAAAATATATTCAAGTTTGACGGATAGCCTCCTGAGCCATGAAACCACACAGCAAGCATATAAACAACTTGGAAGAAAAAAAAACCCATTGTATTCGAGTTAGAAAATAGTATCTGTTCAACTTAAAAAGCATAGAATAGGCATATAAGCGACATTGACATGGGCAATGGTGTTGTCGTACTGCACGTGTGGGGGGAGGAAATAGCAGTGATACAAGTAGAATTCACTAAATACCAAAAGGACTAGTAGGAGTACCACGTGAAAAGTGTGGTAAGCCACTAGTTATGTATGTTCAGTTTCATTTCATTCATTTCATATTATAAAATGTTTTGATTTTTTCTCTATTTGAACTTTTATTTTAATAGCTCGGGTGGTTATTAAGTTTGACTAAGTTTATAAAAAAAACATATTATCATTTATATAAAAAAATATATTATGAAAATATATGTAATGTTAGATTTAATACTAATTTAATATTGTAGAAGTCGCTAAATTTTTCTATAAGCTTAGTAAAACTTAAAAAATTTTAACTACGAAAAAAATCTAAACATCTTATAATATAAAATGGAGGAAGCACTTAAAAGAAAAAAAAACGACAAACTAGTTTCCAGTATTCATGTTTTTAAAATAAAAGACCAGAACTGTAGGAGTGATAAGTAGCACCAGACACTTGCTGGCTTCTTTCCCCCCAATCCGCCACTTGTACTCCAAAAGGACTTACAAAAAAATTTAATACTATATTGGTAATAGACCGAGGAATTGAAAGAATAATCACGCTATATATATATATATATATATATATATATATATATATATATATATATATATATATTCACTAAGTATAAAATATTTCAGAGATTCCCTTGTGGAATTTGTTGTGCAGAACCGAACAGAACAATGATGCCAACAGTGGCACAGTGCAGGCCACCAAACTGACAATAAGCCCAAACCAAAGCTTCCTCAATCCTCACTGCAGCTCACCCCGACCCGACCCGACCCGAGCCATGTATGCTCGCCACGCCATGTGTTCCAGGCCACACGATTCGGGCAGCAAGAGCCGAGCAGACGAGCGTTTATAAATACCCATCCTTACATCCAACCTCGAGGAGGAGATCACAAACCGCGCGCCGCCGCCGACGCCGACGACGACGAAGACGACGGCGAGCGAGAGCGCGCGCGACTCCCACTCCGACGATCTTGAACTTGTGTGTACGCTATTATCGTCCGTCGTCGTCGTCGCCGTCGTTGTATTGTGTTGGCTTTTAGCTATCACTCCCCTTCGTCCTCGGCGGCCGGCCGGACGTGCTGCTCGATCGATCGAACGCCGGCGGCCTCCGCCGCCGCCGCCGTCGTGATTGAGGTGAGCGACTCCATGGATAAGAACCGACGGGTGATCGATGCTGACTAGCTAGCTATTCTTAGCCATGTGTGAGTGTGTGACTGACCCCGCAAACGCTGCATGATGTGCAACGTACTCTGCATGCCTTCCACGGCGGCCAATCTTGTGAGACCGATTCTTGCACGATTGTTTTCTCAGCTCATCTGATCCATCTCATCGAATCTTCTGCGCATTGATCAGTTCTGTGCTACGCTGCTCCAGTTTTTGCAGGATCAGTACTAGGGTTCATCTTGGAGAACCAATTTGATTCGATAGAACGAGCGAGTCGAAGAAGATGGTGCTCGCGAGCACGCCGAAGGTGGTGCTGGGATGCGTGGCGTTCACGATCTTCTGGGTGCTGGCCGTGTTCCCGTCGGTGCCGTTCATGCCGGTGGGTCGCACGGCGGGGTCCCTCCTGGGCGCCATGCTGATGGTGCTCTTCCGCGTGATGACACCCGAGGAGGCGTACGCCGCCATCGACCTCCCCATCCTCGGCCTCCTCTTCGGCACCATGGTCGTCTCCATCTTCCTGGAGCGCGCCGACATGTTCAAGTACCTCGGCAACATGCTGTCGTGGAAGAGCCGCGGCAGCAAGGACCTCCTCTTCCGCGTCTGCGTCGTCTCCGCCGTCGCCAGCGCGCTCTTCACCAACGACACCACCTGCGTCGTCCTCACCGAGTTCATCCTCAAGGTGGCGCGCCAGAACAACCTCCCGCCGCAGCCGTTCCTCCTCGCGCTCGCGTCGAGCTCCAACATCGGGTCGGCGGCGACGCCCATCGGCAACCCGCAGAACCTCGTCATCGCCGTCGAGAGCGGCATCACGTTCGGCCAGTTCCTCCTCGGCGTGTTCCCGGCGATGGTCGTCGGCATCCTCGCCAACACCTGCATCCTCCTCTGCTACTTCTGGAGGTACCTCTCCGCCGACCGCGACCAGCTCGAGGGCGGCGGCGGCGCGCATGGTCCCGAGGTCGTCGCCGACGAGGAGGTCACCTCGCACCGGTTCACCCCGGCGAGGATGTCCCACGCGTCGTCCGTCAACGACAGCGACTGCATCAGCGAGCCCATCCGCCGGAGCGAGAGCATGAACCGCGCCGACGCGCTCCGCAGCCGGAGCTACAACTCCGAGGGCGACATCCAGGTCGCCATCCGCTCGCTCCGGGCGTCGAGCCTGTCGCGCGAGATGGTGGAGGTGTCCACCGTCTGCGACCGCCGCGACGTCGTCGTCGACGGCGGCGGCGGCGGCGGGCCGCGCAAGATCACCAGGTCGACGAGCCACCAGCGGAGCGTCATCATCGAGGACGCGCCGGAGCAGCACCAGCATCCGGCCGGCCTTTTCGACGGCGAGAAGGACAAGGACGACGAGGCGATCGGCAAGCGGCGGCGGTGGAAGGTGATCGTGTGGAAGTACGCCGTCTACCTCACCACCCTCGGCATGCTCGCCGCCCTCCTCCTCGGCCTCAACATGTCGTGGACCGCCATTACCGCCGCCCTCATCCTCCTCGCCCTCGACTTCACTGACGCCCAAGCTTGCCTCGAGAAGGTCAATCAAACTCTCAACTGAAAATTTCTACTCCCTCCGTTTCTAGATATTTGATGCTGTTGACTTTTTTAAACATGTTTTATCATTTGTCTTATTAAAAACTTTTGTGAATATTATTCAAAAATTTGAGTAGTAGTAGTATATTTAACAATAAATCAAATGATAGGAAATGAATTAATAATTACTTAAATTTTTTGAATACGATTAAACATGTTTTAAAAAATCAACGGCGTCAAATATTTAGGAACAGGGAGAGTAACAGTTTCTTGCTCTGAATTTTTCAACTGTTATCTTGAGCTGAATTATTTACTGTTTTGCTAAGTGATTGTTGGTGAATTTGCAGGTGTCATACTCGCTGCTGATCTTCTTCTGCGGGATGTTCATCACGGTGGATGGATTCAACAAGACTGGAATTCCAAACACTCTCTGGGAGCTCGTCGAGCCGTATGCGAGAATCGATAGCCCGAAAGGCGTCGTTCTTCTCGCGATCGTCATCCTTGTTCTGTCAAATGTGGCATCAAATGTTCCAACAGGTAAAGAAAACTTTAATTTGGTACTATAAATGTTCATTTTTAGTTGGTCAAATATTCGGAGAAGTAGACACATCATGGCACGTGCACACACTGTTCACCTTCCGAAAAAATTCTTGCGTTTTTGACCGTGAAACAGTAGTGAAGTACCATACTTTTGTGGTGGTATATTACCCAGATCACATATGATGCAGAGGAGTTGACAATGTGGAGAAATCGTAGTCATAATATTCCTATCATGTTCCATGTTTACTTATGGAAAAAAAAAGTTGATTTCAGAATCCACTAATGTTGACTAGTTAACTCTGTCGTGGCTGACAACGTACTTAAACTAGATCTTTTAGAGATGTCCGTACATTCAGTAGGCCACAGAATTAACCTTCTAAGTTGAAATTGCAGCAAAATTAAGAAATCAGTCCACAAATCTTGTATTTACTACTACTTTTTATAAGCCTGAAAATATAGTATTTTACTACTTTTCAAAGCAGGGAGATGATTCTTTTCTCCCCCAAAACTCATGATTCTTCAGATTTGATATTATCTTACTAATTTGTCACATACCTATTGGGTACATACATAGATTCAGAGTTCTCTGAAACTGCTAACATTATGTCTGAACTCAAATTGCAATTTCAGTTCTACTGCTGGGCACAAGAGTGGCAGCATCAGCCGCAGCGATCTCCCCTGCATCGGAGAAGAAAGCCTGGCTGATCCTGGCCTGGGTGAGCACGGTGGCCGGCAACCTGACCCTCCTCGGCTCAGCCGCGAACCTGATCGTCTGCGAGCAGGCGAGGCGCGCGCAGTTCTTCGGGTACAACCTCACCTTCTGGAGCCACCTCCGCTTCGGCGTGCCGTCGACGATCATCGTCACCGCCATCGGCCTTCTCATCGTCATGAGCTACTGATGAACAAGCCTCAAATGGAGAAGAAGAAGTAAGTAAGTAGCAGCAATCGAAATCACGTAGCAGCAGTACAAGATTGAAGGTTTTACTACTACTACTACTATTTCAGCTGGTTTCTTCCACAAAGGTAAAGAAGAATGGAAGGAAGCAGCTGTGGATATGATGGATGCAGATGGGGACTGAACTGAAATACTAGGTTCAGCTGAGAAAAAACAATGTGATACTTTGTAATGTGTTTTTTGTTGTTATAGCTGGGTTTTGTGTTCTGTACTTGTAATCTTTTAATCCATGCATGCATGCGCGAAGCAAAATTAAGCGCGAGGTTGTGTCGCTAATTAATCTGCTGAAAAGCAAAAAAATAAGTGGGGGCAGATTATTGTTTGTAGATGATGATAATTAATGACCCAGTCGATGGAACTTGGAATTAGTCGGCGTACTTTGTACCCTGTTGTAAGGTGAAGCAAGGCCTTTGATAGGAATGGATATATGGTGATGTTATTTTGCTTCTGGCGTTGCCTTTTGTGGTTTTGTTCACTTGTGTTTTTTGTTGGATCTAGATGTAAATTAAGCGGTCCAGTTTATCACAAAACACTAGTCAATGTGCTATAGCAAAAAAGAAAAAAAAGGCACTGTGTATAGTGCTACTTAAATGTGGCAATGGGTTATACTCGTTGAGATAAAGTGAATGGAATAATTATAAAATGTGGCACTATATTTGTTGACAAAAAATAATAAACCATTTGTAAACACCGATGGACCAAGCAAAATATTATTCGGCTGCTGGGCCATCTTCAGATGAACCCATGGCCCTTTAGTCTCTTACCTTAGAAGAGTGGAATAAGTTCACTTTAGGTCCCTCTATTTGTCGCCCAGTCCGATTTTCACCCTTTGGTCGCAAAACCAGATATAACTCATCCCTCAACTTACAAAACCGCGTAGAAAAGGTCCCTCGGCACTATTATGCCTGGTTTTGAATGACGTGGCGCCTACATGGCTCCCTTTGACTAGGTCCTCATCCCACGTGGCATTGACGTGGCGCTTACGTGGCAATTGGATCCCAGGAAAATAATAAAAAACCATGGGACCCACATGTCAGCTACTCAGCTACACAAAAATAATAGAAAAAAGGTGGGACCTATGTGGTCCCACATGTCAACCTCCCTCGTCTCACTATCCCTCTCTCTCTCATCTACACGGCGAGGAGAAGGGCGAGCGGCAGCGGGCGGAGCGCGGACCAGAGGGGCGGCGGGCGGCGCGGAGAGAGCGCTGCGAGGGAGGAGGCTTCTTCTTCTTCCTCCTCTCTCCAGGCATCTCCGGCAGTCGGCGATACGGCGGCAGCGACGGCCGGCGACTCGACGGCGGCGGCAGGAGCACTGGGCAGGGGGGGAAGTCGGCAGGGCACGGGCGACGATGAGACAATGGCCGTCGCCGGCGGCGCGGCGCGCGACGATGCGCCTTCCCGAGGCGGCCGACGGCGCCGACGCGCGGCCTGGGCATGCAGCAGTGGCGGCGACGCTACCCCGGAAGAAGGGGAGCGCGGATCTGGCGGCGCTGCTGCTGCGGCGGCGATAGGCGTCGGCTCCGAATCCGCAAGCTTCCCTTCCCTTCTCGCCAGCGGACATCCACCTCCGCTTACCGCCCAGGTCGTTCACGCTTCAATTTGCTGCCTCAACTGGATATGTTTAGCTTACATATCTGGTTCTTTCGTTATGGGCTGAAGTGATCAATTGATGGTTTTGCCCGCGTTGACATGAGAATGGTCCTCTTTTGGTGCCGGACAAAATTTGATCTCTACCATTTGCAGCCCTGGAGTGGCTCACAGCAGCCCAACCACCATGCGTTCCAACGCCAGCCATCAATCCTTGTCGCGCGCTGTAAGACACGGGCGAATGAGGACTAGGAGAAGAGAGGGAGAGGCGTGGGGGAGGTAGCTCACGAGGTTCCCGGCGCCGACGGTGCAGAACCCGTTGGAAACGTCGACGAGGACAAACCCCACCTGCCCCCGCTCGCCGCCGCCGGTAGCCAGGACGAGGTCGGCGTCCGGCTGTAGGGGCACCGCCCCCCGGAGCCCTCCCATCGCTTCGGCGGCGCTGGTGGCGTCGGACCCCATTGCACAGCGCGCGCGTGGCTGGAGGCTGGTCTTCGGGTTGACCTCGAGCTCTCGCCACCGGTGTCTCGCTCGCTGCCCCATCCCGCCCGTCGCTCACTTCTACCGGCCGCCGCTTGCCCCGCTCCATCGGCAGGAGAGAGAAGGGATAGAGAGAAGAGGGGAGAGAGGTAGAGAGAAGAGGGAGGAGTGAGGATGACATGCGGGCCCACATGGGACCCACCATTTTTTATTATTAGGGGTTATTATTTTGTGTGTGAAACTGACATGTGGGTCCCATGGGTTTTATTATTTTTTCGGATCGAATTACCACGTAAGCGCCACGTCAGATGAAGACCGAGTCAAATTAGCCACGTAGGCACCACGTCAGCCAAAACCGCTATCAAAACCGCCGAGAGAACTCGTTTGCCCAGTTTTCATAAGTTGGGGGACGGGTTGTACTCGGTTTTGTGGTTCAGGATGAAATCAGACTAGGCGACAAATAGAGGGACCTAAAGTGAACTTATTCCTAGAAGAGTTCTTCCCAGCTCTACTGGGCCTAAAAGTTGGCCCATCGGTTTTCAGGGATTCGTATCGTCTGCCATTAGGCGGAAATGGCAGACGCGCACAGTGTTTTGGGTCTGATGCTACAGTAACAAGCAGGATTATACCAGTATTGCACTGTAGATACAGTACAAACAGTACTGTAGCGATACACTGTTTGTATAGTACTGTAGCGAATAATCCCGTCCATTCGCTGTAGATCGGACGGCTGAGATCGTCCGAATGTCACGAGCACTGTGCTTCTCTGCCATTCCAGTAGATACGAACCCCGGTTTTCAGGGCCCTCTTCAAATGAACCATAGATTTCTGGGCAAGCCCACACAGTTTGCTATGCCGGCCCGCATAGAGCTCTCCTCTCCTCTCCTCCGTGGCAGATGGGAAGGCGCGCGCAGCGACTACAGGGGATACGAGTCCGTCTTCGTACGTCGTCTCCCGTAGTCCCGTTCGTTTGGGTTCTTCGTTCGCGAGCTTGTCGAGCTGCTCGACAAGCCGCCGCGCGCCACCGTACCACCACGACATCCGTGAAGAGGGCCGTGTGGAAGCTGGCGGCGTCTCGCCCATGACGTCGATCCTCCCCTCGCCCGCACCGCCATTGCCGTGCCAGCACACCAATCGGCGGAAGCGGACGCTCAAGGACGCGATCCACGTGTTCTACGTACCTGCGAGCGATCGCCAAGCCACCGGCGGGCAGGGCCGGCTCTATATTTTAGCGGAACCTTGCCGAACTTCGTAACATAAACCTTAAAAACTAATATACTTTTACTTGTAACTAATATATACTTTTATAAATCGAAAATGATATGATGCGAATAAACATTATGAAAACTTAAAATCCTACCCTAATTTTTAGATAAAATAGATGCAAATGAGAAGATAAAAAAATATCACAAGACCTCATTTTAAGCTCTGGCCACAATAAAATAAATGTGTGGTCGCATGGGAGTTAGACATGAGGACGAGGTCGACATTCTAGTAGTTGAGTTGGTTTGTGATGGGTCCCGTACCGGCTTAGGTCCTAGGCGGTCACACGTCCGATCTAGGCCCCCTAAGACGGCCTTGCCGGCGAGCGAGTTGCGCTCCTGCTTCCATCGCAGCATGCTCATGGCTAGCCATTGCTACGGCCCACTCGACCCGGTCTCCAACATCATCGTCAACACTGTCTGGTACGACACCGTATTCCCGCCCCTATGACGCTCGAGTTAGACGTGATCGGCACGGAGAGCATCCACCGTGTGGAGAACCACTCCATGTATTGCCTTGCCTCCTTCCTCTGCACACGCTACCATGGCATGGATTATTTTTCCACCAAGCTGTGTGCTGCCTCCTCCAGGCAGATGCCAACCTTGTGTTGGCTGATCCCAATCTTCATCCTGACGCTGCCGCCATAATCGGGGCACAAGTAGAGCTAGAGTGTGGAGCAATCGCACTTCGGTCTGGTATCTTTGATAGTAGGGTCAACACACAATGTCAAGGCCCAGACACCAGCGTCAAGGACGCCTTCTTAACCGCCGCCACCACCGCCCTTCACCCCAACCCCGATGCTAAGGTGAACCTCCTCACGTTGTGCAAGGCGATGATGGGATCTGAGGCCTTGCCGATGATGCAGGGTGGTAAACAGCTCTTCTCTGACAACATTCACCGGCTTGTGATGTTGCTATCTCCTGGATCATCACCCCGTGCCCATGAGGATCCGCCGCTTCCTCCACTCTCCCTAACAGGGTGGTCTCTTGGAGAGCTTTCATGAAAGCTTGCAAGAATCACCAAGATGGTTACTGCCGCGTTGGATGCATACGAGCGGATGGAAAATGGGGATCCTGCCTTCGAGCTACACACGATTTGTAGTGTGAACAATGAGGTCTCTGACCCAGCAGACCTGCCAGACGTGTCTGGTCCTACTTACATGTATTTCCACTCTCACGTCATTTTTTCTAGTGACTCCGAAAATCCCTCATGCTCATGGAGCTTCTACGACGCTCTTTTTCACTGAACTTAGCAATGATGACGAGGAAGGTGCATCCTATTGTTGTCCAGTGCCTCTATCGATGCTATGCGCGGAACGAGTTTGGTGCCTCTACTGCGATTTCATGGGGGCTAGGATTGTGCACCATGTCAGGAAAAGCTTCCATGGGTGCAAGTCCGAGTTTGAGAAGTGGTGTGTGGAGAAAACCGCTTTGATGATTATGGTACGGTGATTTTGCTCTTGGAATGAGGCCGGAGCCATACCACACCAATTTGACCATCATCAACCATAGCCGCTTGATGGCGGACAATGCTTGCTTCAAGGTGGAAGAGGATTGCCTTTATGATGATATCTGTCCAAAATCCATGAGTCCGGAATGCATGAGTGTTAGAGACTATATGGACTACTTCTACTTATATATTATGATGAGGTTGGATCTAGGTTCAATGAGTGATGAGGAGTTTGATCCCCTTGCCACATTGTTTTTTCTAAAGATAACTTTACCATGTCTCATCGTCTATCACTATTAAGTGTAAAACTTGGTACCTTCAGTTACGTATCTCGAGGTATCCAAGTTTTTAGTGTAAAATTTTGATAAGTATAAGTACTTGGTCAAATTCTGTAAAAGTTTTCTTTTTCTAATATAGTGCCATCTCGTAGCATTTTGTAACGTGCTGTGGAGATGGAAACTAGTGGGCCCATTGCCCATGTACGCGAATATTAGGAAGGACCTAATATCAAATAATTAGAAGGGGTGAGACTTCGAACCCAAGTCATCTAGCCCACCATCTTGTGAAGCTAGCCGGAAGACCCCTCGATGCTTCCCACTGCCCATGTACCACTATTCTACAATGGAGGAGTTTGTGAGTACTTATCTTACTTGAGTTAGAATGATGC